CAACTGGTCAAGATATTATGTCAACCAATCATCAACAGCAACCAGTTGTTATTGGTGCCAATGTTGGTTCATTAATTGATGATTTTGATATATTAGGACCAATGCCAAGTACATCACACCCAACAACAAATATTGGTGGACAAACACAACCAAGAGCACCATCAACTGTACCAAATTTACTTGATGATGAACTTTCATCAATTCTTGCAACAGATTCAAATATTGGCGGTGCTCAAACACCACAATCTCAAATACCAACTATGAATATAACAGCAGCAGCAACAACAACTTCGCTGCCAATGAATCAACCAGCTAAAAGTGGGAATTTACTTGATGATTTATTTAGTGATTTGAATCTAGGAGGAACTGGTTCGGGACTTTATTCAAATACAAATACTTTTGTTTTACCTAAAGAAGTAAGCAAAATAATTGTTTTCGAATTGATGCTTCGTGCAATTTGTAGATTTTACTAAACAATGTTTCCCATTAAAAAAAACAGTTCATATTTATGACCTGTTTCTGAGAAGATTGAGCATTTACAGCGAATTATCGCTATAGGAATCATTGCTGCAGCAAGAATATAATGTCAAAAATCGATCTGCAAACTTTGCCAATATAAAAACATCAATCAGACTAATTTATATGGTTTTTGAACTAAGATTCTTCGCAACATGGAACCTTCAAGGCATAGATCCTTTTCTATAGATAATATATATGAATTGTATCTAAGGTGAAATTTTCAGCAAGATCGGATCCAAAAAACCTTCATCTTAAAAAGCAGTTTTCCGGAGATTCTATCCAATCTCGAAACAATAACTTTTGTTTCAACATCGTCTGGAGATTTTGAAGAAGGATTTGTATCGTTTGGAATTGGTTTTGAAATTTTCATTCGATTCTAAGAGCATTTCTTTACACCGTTACGTCGCTAACAAAAAGTGTATCAGTTTTTTTGCAAAACCTGGATATGCTCAGAAAAAAATTTGAATACAGATTTTATAGCCTCAGAAGTTGTCTACAAAATACATGAAGTGAAAGTCACATTGATGAAGAATGATTTTGCCCATATATCGTATGTATTTTTTTTTTTTAAGTTCCATATATTGGAGAGGCATAGTCCTGGTTTTTTATGCAAGCTAGCCTGATTGAAGTCTTGATATCAGCAAATCTTTTCAAACTTTATCAGTTTGATTTCAGATTAAATACTATTATCTTACTGATATTTTAAAAATATACAGTTATTCATGTAAATATTTTTTGAGACCGCAAAATCATGGAGTCATTCGTATTATAAAAAGCCTATCACTCTTCAAGTGTAAGGAGGGTCTGAAGGTCTAAGCATAAGTTCAGTATTTTTCTGAGTGCTTTTTGTTTGCTTGTAGTTCTCACTAACGAGAAAATTCCTTCAGAAGTCTCCTTCCAATTTCAATGATTTTTTGTATATATATATATATTACTGAGTATTTTAATAAAAATTTTCAAAATAGGATTTGGATTCCTATTGATATTTGACTAAACTGTCGAACTTTTAATATGTTTATTCTCGGAAGTCGCAGATTTTCGGAAAACTTGTAATTTTGCATTTTAATCTGAAACTTTGGGCATATGGAGAATTCAACTGTAGTAACTTCAATAAAAAAATTCACAACTTTTGGTCAATGGCTCATATTTTGTTCAAAGCTTCTGAGTTTTTTTTTGTGAAAGTTCGTCTACTTGAGCTCTCTATATACGCAGAGTTTCAGATGAAAATTTGAAAATATGAAGTTTCCGAAGATTAGAGATCTACGGAAGATAGAAACATAAAGAATTCGATAGCTTGGTCAAATTTCAATGGATAACAAAATCTTTTTAAGGTTTTTATCCAGACACTAGGTAATATCTATAGGCAAATAAATCATTGAAATTAGAAGGCAGTATTTGAAGAGGTTTCGTAGTAACGGAGAAAATGTTGCCGGAACAACAATCATAGATTTCATTCATTAATTGATTTAATTTCAAGATTCTACATATGAAATACAAACCTTAAAACGTTCCTCTTGCGAATAAATATAATTATTGTATTAAATAAACTGTCTTTTATTATTAGATTTGGTTAAGTGCACAAAAAGGTAAAGGTCTTGAAGTATCCGGTACATTTGCTCGTCGTAATAATCAAGTTGTAATGGAAATGGATTTTACAAATAAAGCATTACAATCAATGAGTGATTTTGCATTACAACTTAATCGTAATAGTTTTGGTTTAACACCTGCTCAACCATTACAAGTAACAAGTCCATTATTTCCAAACCAAAATGTTTCAACACAATTAATATTAAATACAAATGGACCAATTATGAAAATGGAACCATTAACAAATCTTCAAGTTGCTATTAAAAATAATGTTGATGTTTTCTATTTTGCATGTATGGTACCAATACATGTTTATTTTACTCAAGATAATGAAATAGATAAAATGGCATTTGTTCAATCATGGCAAGAGATACCTGAAAGTAATGAAATCAAACATCAATTACAGAATGTTAATGGATTATCAATTGAAGATTTACAAAATAAATTACATTTAAATAATATTCATACAGTAACAAGAACAATTATTGAACAAAAAGAAATGCTCTATCAAACAATTAAATTAACTAATGGAATAATTATACTTGTTGAATTAAAAATTACACCTGGAAATCGAACGATAGCGGTAGAAATATCTTTTTGCTTTGTTTTATAATATAAACAGTTTTTTTTTAATCTTTTTAGTTTTCACTTAAAACAAAAGTTCCAGATGTGGCAAATTTAATTGTGCATGCATATGAACTTATTCTTGGTAGCAACTAGTCGTTTGTTCAGTTGTTTCTCCTAATGATATATTTATCTTATCTTTTTAAATGATCAAAATTCTGTCATCTTTGTTTGTTTTTTTTTGTTCCTTTATTTGTCTCATTCCTTTTTTTATGTCTCAGTCAAACTCAATATGATATTAAAATATATATCTGTTCACGTAATAAAATACATTCATCTTCTTTTTCTTTTGTAGATCTCGAATCAAAGAAAGAGAGATTTTTTGTTGTTGTGAGTAATTATGTATGTGATTGAATAGAATTATTCATGTAGTTTAAACGAATTTTAACGATAGCGGGTATTGTGTGTATTGATACTTGATAGAAAGTTAGATGAAAAAAGTTTTGTAGACGATGTAGGTTGTTTGATACAAGCTTATTATGAGTTAAAAAAAATCCAACGATAAAACCCTTTGTTTGTCCTTACTGAAAGTTTAGGAGAGGTCTTTTGAAATTTAAAAGGAATTTTGTGGACTAATGCATAGGGATCGATCAGTTCACAGTCAGATCAAATGAGTGTAAGAATTGTTCGTTCGAAAAAAATCAGATCATATCACAACATCTGCTCAGACAGTTCTTCTGATAGAAACTAATCTGTCCAACAGTTTAGTTGCTGTAACTAAAGTTTTTCATAACCGACAGTGCTGCTTCCAAAACAGAAGAATAGTTTTGTATAATCACAAGTGTCATGTACAGAAATGGAGCAATAGTTTTTTAAAATCTCTAGTGTGCCTTTCTCAAAATTATTCGAACAACTCGGTTTCAGAAACTTAAGTGTTGAAAAAGATTAAAGAATTTTTAAAATAGATCCAAATTAGAATTGAACTAGTCGATCTCTACTGATTGTGTAAAGTTTTGATAGCAGATGTGTGCGATTGAAGATTGGTCTTTAACATATTTTTATAATACGTCTATTGATTGTAATTATTTTTGCAGTATAATTATTAAAATGCATGGCACTACGAATGAAGAATAAACTAAAAATAGAGCATTTGAGAAAAATCTGAGAGATTCTTATGGTGAGAGTCATGAAGATTAATAATTTTGGAGAACTGCATGCTTGAACAGCCTAGTTTAAATCAAAATAGAAATCTAAACATATTTGTTGAACCATGCTCTCTTCATGTAACATTGATGAATTAACTGCATACAGATCAAAGACTCATTTGCTTATGTCATAGTAGATAATAACAATAGTGGATAATATCAGAGAAACTCTATTTCGATATTTTTTAAATATATATGTGCGTAATAATATTAATCATAAATGCAAGTATGATGAATAAAAGTAGATTACTTTCAAAAGGATATATTCCTTTGCTTAGCTGTATTTAAAGCTCTCACATAATGTTGTTTATTTTCAAGCTTGTATAATGATAGTAAAGTTTACGCGTATGACTCAACTAATCAAATGACAAGTGTAATATTTTTATTATGTAAAATGACTAACCGAACGACTTGACAGTCATCATTATTACTGAATAAAGTAATATATTCCCATCGTCATTAGCTAATATATATATATATACATTTTGCAAAAGTTATTGGAAATCATACAAAGAAGTCGAATATTATCTTTTTCATAAGTAATACTCAAGTTTAGGAATTGATATATTTACATATTTCTCATTGTTTGGAAGTTTCCGACATTCGAAATCAATTTTTTAGATATAGCATCATCTGTTTTCTTATCAATAAGTTCTCTATCATTGTTTTCTCTCGTTTTCATTCTACATAGGGAAGTTTTCTAAAAATCTCATCCAACGATTTCAGTCGTCACCGCCGATCAATGTATAAGCTTACATCCCTATCAATAACTGTTTCACGATAGCTTAAAAACTTTTCAGAAGTTATATCTCTAATTTCTCTACCTGAAATTGATGCTTCTCATGCTGAGTTATTCAGTCATAAACCTATATTTACAAATAATATATAAAATATTTTCATCTTCTTTACTTTTTTTCATAGCTTTATTTTTCTAATCGCTCGGAATTTCGTGATAAATATTTGACACGTCGAACAAAAGAATTTAAAAATGTTTAAAGCAATAAAAAAAGATTACAATGGGAAATTTCCAGTCTTTGTTTACATATTTATTGTATATGAATCATAAATATAAATCATTTCTTGTTCCAGATAATCTTAAATTTTATTCCAAGTATTGGACTTTTAATGCCTACATCATCAATAAGACCTTTTCTTATTGGCGTTTCAGGAGGACCATGTTCTGGTAAATATTTTCAATAATTTAAAACTAATTCAAATGCTTCATATAGGTAAATCAACAGTATGTCAAAAAATAGTTGAAGCATTACAACCAGAAGGGGATGTTGAACAAACAAATCGTGTCACTGTAATAGCAATGGAACATTTTTATAAACCTAAAACAGTTGAACAACGTGAAATGGCTTTACGTGGAAATTATAATCTTGATCATCCAAGTGCATTTGATGAAAAACTTCTTTATAATACGTTAAAAGATTTACTTGACGGTCAAACGGTTAAAGTAAAAAACGAACAACGAATAATAAATTTATCGTTGCATAAATTTCATATTTAGATTGCTCGTTATGATCCTGGTAAATATGAACATATTGAAGGAGTGTTTGATACAATTGAACCTGTACCAGTTATTATAATTGAAGGAATTCTTGTTTTTTATTTTCCTGAAATTCGAGTATTTGTTTTTTGCTCAATAATATTTTAGTTTATTATTATTTTTTTTTTCATTAGAATTTATTTCAAATGAAATTGTTTGTTGATACAGATGCTGATACACGTTTAGCACGTCGTGTTTTACGTGATATGAAACAACATGGAAGAAATTTAGAATATATTTTAGCTGGTTATACAAATTATGTCAAACCATCATTTGAAGATTTTTGTTTACCAACTAAAAAATATGCCGATGTTATTATACCACGTGGTGCTGATAATTATGTTGCTGTTGATCTTATTATACAACATATCAGAGATTTTCTTAAAAATAAGCCAGGAAAATATGAAAATCAACTATCAATTGAACACAATGCAAGATCACGACCACATTGAGATTTTAGTTTATTTTTTAAATAAATAAATATATATATATATCTATGTATGTGTATATTTATATTATAGTCAGATTAAGAACCTTTTCTTTCTTACCTATGACAGATGTAATATATAGAATGCATAATATGAGCCTTTTTTTCTGTTATGTACCACTTGTATGTTGTGCAGCCTAAACAATGCAACTATTCAAAACTTTTCATTTTTTTTTATTTATATACATATCTATATTATAACCAAAACTTACACGACTTTGTCACTAGTCATATTTTTTTAACCTATATATAAAGATTGAAAAAAATGCGCATAAAAATTAAAGAATTAATATTTTTCATTGTGTATTGTATCTCATAATAAAACACTAAAGAGATTTTATACGTAGTTTTGTTGGAATCTTGAAGAATATGTTTAGTCTTTCTGATGATTTTCTTTTTCAAGATGAAGAACATTATTATGACGGCAGTATGATGTTTGTTGTGTTAAACATATGTTCTCTATAGTTTCAAGTATTTTATTGGTACTAATGATATTGAATGGAATATGTTAGGAAACTATCTGGACCAGAATATATCTTATTTCTGTAGCAATTAAGAAACATGTTCTTTTCAAATATCATTTTGATGATACTTCTTCGAGGTCTCAGTTTACTTCAGAGAGGAAAAAGAAATGTTATTCGAAACAACTGAAGCTTCATAAATTTAATCATTCGTACAAGAACAAAGTTGAAACTATTTTTTACTATATACACTGAATACAAGTTTGTAGGAATATTCTACATCAAACCATATTAATATGTGAAGCAATAATTAAAAGATTTAGTTCTACTTGGATTAAAATGTATCTAATAAGACTCGAGGAATATATTGTAACAAGAAGTATATAATCACTTTTGTTTGGTTTTATAATTTATTTTACTGTACAGAAATACATATTCATATTAACAAATAGATGTGACTACTTTTCAACTAGCATTAATCCAAAGATTGCTGTTTCATATTACAGCTATCAAAAATAGTGAATATTATGATACATATTCTTGCGTATTTATCATAAATATCAGTTTTGGTTTTGTTTATACAAAGAAAATATTAATTAATTATGATTTATATTTTAGATGAGTTTTCAATATTCATTAACTAAAACTTGGACATTATTACGCTATGCTGTTGAAATTAATCCCAATTCACCTTTATCAAGTCCAAATTCAACATCATCGAATGAGCGACAACAGTTTGTATTGTTTTTAGACTTATACAATATATATAACTTTTTAAACTTTTCTGTAGACCACAACGTCAAACAATTGATTGTTCAGAAGGATATCTTAGTTTAAATTTATCTAAAACTCAACAATTGTACGTTATTCGTGATGAAACAGAAAAAATCGAATGTGTAGATTTATTATCTTCTGATCCATCTTCAATATTTGCAACTTATACTGGTGATAGTCTTTTAATCAGTTATCTTATTCCAAATGATAATATTCAACGTAAATTTTTAATAAAATTTGCTTCAACTGCAAGCCAAAATGGTCGTCAACATTGTGAAGAATGTGTAAGATTACTTTCACGTTCAATTAATATTACACATTTTGATTCAATATCCTTGTCATCAATAACAAATTCTATTGAAAAACCAAATTCAATTGTATCAATTTCGGATATGATAAAATCATTAATGGGTGATAATGCAATAAAATTATCTAAATATTATAATCAAGAATTAGCTTTTGATAATAATCAAACAGATGATTTTTTAGAAAAATATTTATGTGATGAAACATTTCCTGATTTTGTTGCTAATGTTGCATCTATACTTGATACGATGAAAGAGACTTAGAAAACTGTTTAGATTTTTTATGCAAATTTTTTTATTGATAATAAATAATGAAATCATAAGACAATTAGAATTGTTTTCATATTTCATTTGTCAAATAGAGTAAACATTAACAATCAGACTTAAACAGTTTTAGAACATTTTAAAATCTTCCTCGAAACTCGAATGGTTTGAATACATTTGCAAATATTGTAGATAGTGTAGTTTGTAATCTTCACGCAGATAATAATTTATATTTAAAATGTCAATGATGATGAGTAATGATTTACTGATTTGCCACAGTCGTTATATGATTCGAGCCTGTCGAGTTGTTGCTGAATTCGAACCAGTTCATATTCGAAAATTTTCCAATGGATTCTAACACTAGTCGCTGAATACAAAAAGCCAGAAAAAAATCATTGCGTATGTTCGACGTGACCTATTCAATTTCGATTAGAAAATTTTCTTGAGAGTATCAAACTACGATTTGACTAGGTCTAGGTCTGAAAAATTTGGAGCCGACAAAGTCTACATATGGTCAAGATGAAAAAAAGCGTGAACTAATCAAGTTATAATTATAGGAAATAGCCAACATCAGTGTTTATTAGTTTATCACGATATATGATAGTGTCTTGAAACTTAATGCAGCTATAGTGAACACGTGCAATGGACTTATTTACCAGCTAACTTAATGTTTAGAATAATAATAATGTTAAAATTAAAAAAAAAACAGAATACGAAAATGAAAGGTAACGAGGCAAACGAAAACTAGAGCGCTAGTCAAAAACAGAACAAATTTCTGTTCAAAATGCAAAAATAAATAAGACGGTTCGTTTCTCTGGCTAGCGATTATCTTGGAGGACAACTATAGTCTGAAAGAGATTTTTCACTTGATGTATTTTGTATTAGTATAATAAGACTAAAGAACACGTATGTGTTCCACATTTCAGCTTCAAAGGAACCACACTAACAAGCCTTTTTTTCTTACAGACAAAGAATCACTTGATAAAGAACGAAGCAGCATTTCTAGTAAATAGATACAAACGACTAAATTTGTAAAGTCATCAAAATCTGTTGTACGTCAAAGACGACCTTTTCTTTATTTACTCGTAACACGTATATAGAGATATTTTGCTTTATACCTCATGTTATACTTTTGTTCGCACTAACACCAGTAGAGCGCAAATTACATCGACTGGTTTACCCCAGATTTTGGCCCAGTTCCAATCACATGAGATATTATCTTTTGTTTTAGCAAAGTTGCAATAAGAGTCTTCTTTTTAATATATTTCACTATTGAGCTCAAGCTAGAATACGACATATATCTCCAATCATCAACAATTATCTTTAAATATTTCTAGTAATGCTTCTTCATTAAAAAAACTGGTGGAAGCCGATTGAATAGGACATTGTCACCATCATGTCTGTAAATTATTGTTGATAGCTTTCGTAGCTGTTGTTCCTTCATGCAGCGAATTACATTGTGGGCATGATTTCGGCTGTGAATTGAAGTTTTCATCGCAACCACGCCCTAATTGGAATAAAAACAACTTTATTCGAAAGGGTAATTGAAAGCGACTATGAAAAATGAACAAAGGGTTTAAACTATTAGTTTTCCTGAATAATTGCAAAGAATTTTCTCTTTCAGATTTGTGTTTTTTTGTTGAAATAATGGTTGAAATGAATGAATTTATCTATTCAAGCTATTCATTAAAACATGCTATTGAGTTATAATATATTCCAATTTCTGGAGATACTGATTCCCAAAATGACTTATTTATGAATTTCTAATGTGAATTAATTCTGAGTTTTTATCAAGCTTGTAGAATTAAATTCTGTTAAACAACTGATAATGATAATAACCGATATTTACTTACACTAGATGAGAAAATGTTTTGTGTGCAAGTAATTGGATTTTATGATAATATGAAATTATCAATGCCTTTAGTTTTGGTATAATATGTGGTCATCGCGCATTTATACAAATGATTGGTCTGATAATTATTCATAAGCAAAGATTTTTTTAAAATTTCTTCTCAACAAATAGTAACCAAAGATATTCATCTATTAATTATTTTTTCTGTAATTGTTGTTTTCATAATTTAGTTTTATGCAAGCACGATTTTAATCATTGATTGTGTAACCTGTCTTGTGTTTGCTATTACTATAAGTTACAAAAAGCATTTGTATCTTTCCTTTCTCCTTTTCATAATGACAGACTCAGTGCTTTTAATATTTAAAAATAAAACATATTAGAAAAAAAAATTGTCTTTTAGTAAATGAAGACGGTATAAATTAGGGTTATGGGTGTCAGTTACAGCTTGCCAGGCCCAAGTTTTTTTTTGAGTTGGATCCGGTCCCGATGGATTAAACTTTTTCAGTTCCGTGTTCGCCCGAACTCGATCAGTACTCATAGTATTATCAATAAAAGTTTTTAATCCACTTAGAGAAATCCCCCAAAGACATGAGATACTTTTTGCCTTATTTAGATTCAGCAACTAGTACAATCTACACATTCTTCAAAGCATCTTGATGGTAATCATACGAGAATGTGATCACAATTCACTTTTACTTGCAGAGTATCAACTATAAAATCATTTTTCGAAATATGAAAGTATGTTGTAGATGGTATTAAAGGTGTTATGCATCTGCATTGATTTGCACCTCAGATTCTGATTCGAAGCGACTAGTCGTGTCACAGCAGCATCCACAGAGAAAGTAAAATAGGTGAACATCACTAATAGAATTAGACAAGTAAAATGTATGTTTCGAATTGCAGTTCCAATTGTATTAGATATTATACAGTTATTTAGCGTTATATGTTTACTATATACTACAGGCATTTCGCTCTTTTTAAAATCTTTTCCGCTCCAATAGAACTAAAAATCTACTCGTAATATATCCAAAAAAAAACCGCTGGTGAATAATGTAACTGTTTCACCGAGTTTCCTGGGACTTTTTCTAAATTTTTAATTTATTGTCGAACAGAGCATACCATGAATCAACTTTGATGGATAATTAAAGATGCGAATCTAAGCTCTTATTGAGATACGGCATCCTTATTATAACCTTCAATACAGACACGTTAAAAGGAACTCGTATAATAATTACTTATCTTTCAGATCAATTCAGTTTCCGATAGATAATACAAGCTCATATATATTTATTTTAAAACTTTTACATCGATTGTTTGATTCTAAACATAATCCACAAATAGTTTTCAACTTTGCATTCTCTTCAGAAAACGTTGATAATTTACAAGGAAATCTCTCGAGATTATAGATTATTTTTGGATCGAGACTATTTCTATTCAATGAAAGCTGGTGATTGTTGAAATAGTCTAACATGCTTTGTTTTTCCAGACCTTCTTTCTTATGATATCGACTTTTTAAGAAAACCTCGCAGTTCACCTCAAATCATGTTGAAAATTGGCTTTCAATTTTGGACTTGAAACTTTGCACAAATAATGCTTTCAATGTAACTAGCTCATTCTGAAAGTTTTAGCTTTTATTATTGCTTGTATTGTGAGATACGAATATTCAAAATTTAAGTAGTTGTATGACAATGCAAATTTTGTACTGATATTTGTATCGCACAACAGTAGCAACAAAAAAAGCTCAAACTTTTAGAATGGACTAATTCCATTGAGAACATAATTTATGCAAAATTTCAAGTCAAAACGTAAAAGTTAATTTTTAATATGACCTGATGGAAACTATGGAGTTTTGTTGAAAACTTCAGTAAAAAATCTATCTTTTAGTTATCTTACGAGTAAAAAAGGCTTGATAAGCACAAATAATCAGTATCAAGTGCGAAGAATAACTGCACAAATACCAAGTTTTTAGCTACGGTAATTGAAGAAATGACTGCTAGTCTCCTATTTTCTGTTCACTATGCATCATACCTCTCTACTGCCTATCGTTTTAAACGTTTCTATCTTTTATGTCTTCGATGTGTTTTTTACAGACATTTCTTTTGTTCTGAATATGTCACAAAAGTGAATTCCTTATGAATTCTCAAAATCCATAATAGTTTGCTGAATTCAGAAATACCTACATCAGCTCCTGCGTTTTTACCTCTTTCAATCTTTAGTGGAGTAGAATTATAATGCAGCGTATCAAATGAAAGAAAAAATCGTTTTTATTTTATTGTTTTTTTAATACATATAGCTGCAAGAAATACCGATATCAACAACGAACCAACGAAACATAAGATCTCCTTTTCTTGCAAAATGATATAAAGTCAATATTTCTTCTTGAACTCTGTAGAATGGACTTTCGCAGATAATATTAAGCTTTGAAAATGTTTGAAGAATATTTCAGAAAGTTAATTTTACTATGATGATTCGTTGTTTGGATGAAAAACTTGCTTTAATCTTGAAATAAAATTTAGTTTCATGATCTATATCAAGGGTTCAACTTATATGACGCTTGAAAGAAGTCTCCACTCGAATTTCAGACAATAGGATAAGATTAGGTCCATACATTAGAGCTGCGCTTGAAACATAGAAGGATTTATTATACTTAAATTGATGAGAATATCAATGTAATACATACAAATTCCTGATGAGGCTACTATTCACAAAATATTGAACTGGTGTGTGGCACTACAAAGCTATTATAGTTGTATGGCAGGAATATATTGTCAAAACTGATATCCCCCGAAACAATAATTGGCTACATACATGATTTTTTAGCAAAAGAAGACAGTAGCACGTAACTCATAATTATTCTACATACTTATTATTGTGTACAAAAAATAAACGAAATGGATCTTATGCTTATTTGATTAAAACTAATAATAATTAGGAATAATGCACGAAAAATATAGAAAAAAAAATGCTAAGTATATAAGAGGAGAAAATAAATGGATAACGAGAATATTAGTGAAGGAAGCTAGTTAGTTGAAAAGATGATAGAAAAAACAAACTAGTTAACAATGTCCGTTGTTTTTAAGATGATTGATGGTACCATACCATGCAATAATGTGAAGTAACGCTTGTATAATATGTCCTACAAATAAAA